GGGATATTGGGCGATAGTTTGCAGGATCAGAATGTTGTTTGCCATTTTTAAGGATTGGGATAATAATGCTTCTGCGCCAGGATGGAGGATATGAATTGCTTTCCCAGAGTTGATTTATATTAGCCAGGAGAGTTGTAAGTCCAGATTCAGGGAGATTTTTGAAGAATTGATATGCGACCTGATCTGGACCAACCGATGTGTTTCCACATTTGGCAAGTGATGAGTGAAGCTCATGTTCTCTGAATGGTGCATTGTAGTGTTCGTTGTTGAGTGAGTCAAATGAGAGTGTACTGAGGTGTGTATCAAGTGTTGTGGTGAATTGTGCTGGGTATTGCCGTTCAGAAGAGATATTGGCGTAGTGGATAGCAAATTGAATAGTTACTTCTGAGGGGATGATGTAATGTATGTTGTTAATGTAAAGGTGGGGTACCTTGTAATAGGTCCGATTTTTAGTGAAACATTTGATCAGGGACCATATTTTCGAAAGAGGGGTAAATCTATTAAAAGTGTTAGCAAATTGTTGCCAGCTTGAGCTTTTGGCTTTCAAAATAATTTCACGTGATTCTCGTCGAGCCTTACGAGCTGCCTCCGCGTGTGCGTCGCAGATGCATCGTCTAAAGACACGCATTGCTCGCCTTCGAAGTGCTACTGCTCTTTGACAATCAGAGTTCCACCAGGGAGCATTTTTGTCGGGGATGGGGGGTCGAGTAAGAGGAATCGTCTGTTTTGCTACGTTAAGTATCATGTCAAGGAAAGTATTAATATCTTTAGGGGGATCTCTACATTCTACGTTAATGTGTTTTTGAAAGTTAACCCAGTCGGCTCTCCGAAAATTCCATCTTGGTAGGAAGTTAAAGTTTGTTTGTTCTGAAGGAACATCAATGGAGTAGTGCAAAGGGAAGTGATCACTAAATAGGGTATCGTCTGCAGTGTATTGGGTGAAAAGAGTCGCGGTGTTTGTGTCCGTGATAGCGAAGTCGATGACGCTATGTGAGGCTTCGCCATTACTGATGCATGTGTGTGTTGGTACTCTGTTTGTGAGTGGTATCAAATCAAGTGCTTCTATTACGTTAAGTATTTGTCTGCCTCTTGTGTCGTTGCGTGCGCACCCCCATGTTAGATTTTGGGCGTTAAAGTCTCCCATTATGATAAAAGGAGGGGAGAGCTGGGAAATCAATTCGGAGAGGTGGTTAGGATTCAATGGGTAGGTAGGAGAGAGGTAGATAGAGAGGACAGTTAGATCACGCTGTGCTATTTTAACTTTGGCTCCTACAACGTTAACCCTATTAGTGGCAGGCTCCTGGCTACCCCCTATTAGTGGCAGGGGGGGGGCTGTTTACGACCCCCCCTTGATATCTCGAGATCTAACGGGCCGATTTTCAAAATTCAAACGGCATTCGATTGCGCTCAACGTGATCTACATTTCTAAAAAATAAAAATTAAAAAATGTCAATAGGGGGGGGGGGTAGAGGGGGGTAAAAACGGGCAAATTGCAGATACATTTTAGACTGTTTATCACGGCCAGGTTTCTGAACCAATCTTAACGCAACTTTTGCCGATCGATAGAGAATGAACCAGGAATTCACATGGATCCTAAAAATATGCATTTTCAAAAATCATAGGCGGATACAGATCATTGAGATTGGGGGTACACAAAAAGTATAGTAAATAAGGTTTTTGTTGGTACTGTTTCTAAAAAGGGTGGTAATGGTCTTGTTTTGTTACAATTTTCTTATGAGAGAACGACTACAATTGTATTGGTCATGCATAGGCGGTGTCAGGGCACCTATGTTGGGAGGTAAAACATAACCTCCCTTTTTGGACGCCTGGATCCGCCTATTATAGCAAAAACGTGTCAAAAGAGGATGCACAATAACTGTATATGTTATCACATGATACCTTTCATTCACTGTTCGTAAAACTGGTGCAGCATCGTGATCTTCGCCCATATGACTCGCATCACGAATAGGACCCCCCAATTCCCAGTGCTCTGGAGCCGCCCCTGGTAAAGTTATGAACTTGAAATTTTCAGGGAATGTGCCCAATTTAGTTTTAGGAAAAGTCAGAAAATTTCAGCATCGTAGCTTCAGCGGTTTCGGAGATATTCCCGAAAAACCTGAGGGGTGGATAAAAACAACTGCCACTAATAGGGTTAAGCGTTGTATTGAGTTGAATTTGGTGGTGCAAGATATTATTTGAGATATAAAGCGCCGAGCCGCCCCGGCGAGGTGTTTCGTTTACGTTATCTGTATATAGAGAGTAGTCACGAATGTTAAAGTTATAATTGATCGAATCAGAGTCTAGGAATCTGGTTTCTTGGATGGCGGCAAGTAACGGTTTATTATGCATGATATAGTTCTTGAATTCCCCCCAATGAGATATCAGCGAGCTGGTATTCCATTGGAGGAAGAATTCAGGCCGTGATTGGTTCATTTAAAGTGATGTGTGCGCGCCGCTCGTGACCGTGTGAGGCGACGATCGTAAGAGGAGGACCGCGACCGCGGAGATCGTCCCGCATCTACCGTACTTGGGGGTGCTTCCGCGACTTTCGGAAGAGTACCGGTGGATTGACGAGGGGGGTGAGGAGGAGGATCGGCGGCTGGCTCGGGGTCCAGCTGTCGGGGACCCGGTGGGGGTCTCCTTGGGAGCGCACTCGGACTGCGCGGGTTCGCTTTCCGGGGAGTCCGGCGTGAGGGGCTCAGACAGAGGGGAGTCCGGCGTGAGGGTCGTGTTCGGTGACGACTGGGGCGTCCGTTCCGGTGGAGGGGGCGGCGGGGACGTGTCTGCCTGGGCTGGGCGCGGAGGGCGAGGGCGCGGTGGCGGGATCTTCTCCCGCACTGCCGGGAGCGGGGGCCACTCGGCTGGGTCCAGCATGGCCTGTGCTGGTGCTCCTCTGGCTGGGTCCAGCATGACCTGTGTTGGTGCCCGTTTTGACTGGTGTTCACGTGCAGCTTGCTTGGTGGCCTCGCGGTGCCATCGGTTGGCGTCCTGCACCACCGGGCACCCCCTGTCCCAGGACGGGTGGGGCCCCCCACAGCCGAAGCAGAGAGGGGGGGCTTGACATCCCTCGGTCGGGTGTCCGCCCGAGCAGCGGCCGCACCGCGGGTTGCGGCGCCGGCACGCGCGCCTGCTGTGGCCGTACATGAGGCAGTTAGGGCACGGACGTGGGGCGTAAATCCAAGGGGTGACCTGCACCCGCATGTATCCACAGTAGATAATTTGTGGGAGGATTCGGCCTGCGAACCAGAGGCGGACGGTGGGGTTGGGACCCATTTTTTCGAGGTCCCGGGACTTGAGGCGTTGCACTTTCACAACCCCCTGGTCTTTGAGCTCGTCGAGGAGCTCAGCGTTGCTGAGCTCCGTCAGCGCCTCGCTGCGGACGGCTCCCTCCACTGTGTTGAGCCGGTGGGCGAGCTGGGTTTGTACTGGGTTGTCTGCGAAGTTTGTCATGTTCATGAGTGTCACTGTTTGTTTGGAGTTCTCAGTCTCGATGAGTAGGGAGCCAGATTGGAGGGCCTTGACCGACTTGACGGGGCCGATGAACTGGTCCAGGGACCGCTTGATATGGAAAGGGTTGCTACTCCGGAAAGAACCTTTCTTTTTCACAAGTACGAACGCAGGACCTTCGGGGAGTGTTTCGCTGGGGGGCAGTGAGGCCGCCCCCTCATCCAAGATGAAAGGCATGTTGTTTTTCTTTTCAGATGTTAGTCAAGATTATATTGAATGTGGGGGAGCTAAAATAAGAAAGAAAACTAACTAGACAAATGGACAGCTATATAGTGAGCGGTCGGGCCGGTATACCGGGTGCCGAGGAAGCTCCCAACAACAATGAAGTGCGAAGAGAAGAAAGAGGGAGGGATTGTAGGGGGGAAGGGTAGAGTACCCTCGGAGAGAGGTAAGGGAGATAGAAAAAGTCGAAAAGCACCAACAACACCTACCTACCTATACGGTACCACCCACGCAGGAGTTCCAGCACCACCGGTGCGTCACCTGCCTTGATAAAGACAGGTGCACGCAGCCGGTGGTTCTAAAAACGCTAAAAAACGCCCGCTGGTGGTATCGTACCTATCCGGGAGGGATCGCAATTGCCGCAGTGGCACGCCTGACCTAAGCACTAAGCAGTCAAGTGGCTGGTCGATTTGCAATTATTCGAAACTTCATATATGATCATTGATCATGTCAAAATAATAATGAAGAGAACGAAGAGAGAATAATAAAGAGAGAATAATGCAGAGAGAAGAGAAGAGGTAGATTTTTGCATGAAAAGTGGCGTTAACTTGCAAGTTTTTAGGTACGTATACGTACATAGCTCGTATCGTTAGTTGTCACACACGCACATGTAGGTACTAGGTAGGTAATCTTGAAACTCTGTTACGGTAAAATGTCAACTTTTCAAATGCGAGCAAAACTTGAACCGTTTAATTTTGCTGCGTAGGTACCTACATATTACCTTCAAAAATGAAAGTGCAAGCACCAGTCCTGTTCCCCGTACTACCGCACAGTACGCTGGTGATGATTACGGGCCATAGTGCGGACGCTGATGAGCTCCCGGGCAGAATATTACGGCGAAGCCAGACGCCGATCTGCGTATTACCAAATCAGATCGATATTGACGGCAGTATGGACCGGCCCGAGATGAGAGGAGGTGGACGCACAAGCAGAACTCTCGAACCAGCACGTAGTCCCCTGATCTGACCATAGCCTTGCTCTGACCGATAGGCGGCCCGCTTGAGGAGCATCAACCTTCTCGTGCACAATTGCTGGATAGAAATACACGCATAGTTGCCTATCCCAGTCTGGTCCAGGAAAGCTTTTTGACCATTTCGGCTGTGAGAAACTGCTGGTCTAGAATACCTACGTTCCATGTCTCACTTCTTTAGCATATCTTCATTAACCATATGACTGAGATCACGATGCCATAAATATCAAAACTTGTGCATTAATGTAACATCAGACAAGAGGTAGTCGTGCATATCGATAACATCCTCTCCATGTTCCAGGCCGGCAGCATCAGCGAGCCGTGGTCTGATTCCGCCCCGGTGACTGCGGCCGACCCGGGGGCTGAACCCGCCGCGCTACCGGCCACCGTCCCTGAGCCGACATCACCTCACGACAACATCGAAAAGCGCAGCGTCTTCCCCGGCGAGGGCGACAGCCCACCGCCCGAGAAGAAGTCGATCGGATCCCTGGCCCGACAGAACGCCTTCAGCTCGTCATTGTCATCGACATCGTCAGAGTCGAAACGATCTCTGGGCTCGGTAGCGCGCAGCAGCAGTTCGCGATCGTACTCCAAGCGGTCCCTGGCGTCCCTCGCTCGAGGAGGCCTCGTCGGCAGCCAGACTCTCGACCAACATCCCGAGGACCGCGACAAAAGGCACATCGGCGCGTTCGCCCGCCTGGCGGGGTTCGGCTTCCACGGGCCGAAGCGGACGCTCGCCTCGCTGATGGGCCACGCGGACGAGCCCGGTGACGGACTGGGGGAGCACAAAAGGGGCCTGCCATCCATCGCTAGACAGGGAGGCTACGGACTGGGGGAGTACAAAAGGGGCCTGCCATCCATCGCCAGACAGGGAGGCTACGGCCAGTCACCACAGAAACGACCGCTGGCATCTATTGTACGTCAGGGAGGATTCCGCAACTACGACAGGCGAAGCCTCGTCTCTCTCGTGCGACAAGGAGGACTGATGGGAGACCAGAGCTCAGAGATGACATCCGATGGCATCAAACGGTCCCTGTCGTCTCTCGCTCGACAGGGGAGCGTCTTTGGTTGGGACGGTCCAAAGAAGAGGGGTCTGTCGTCGCTCGCCCGGCAAGGCGGATACAGAATGTCCTACGAGAGTAAAAGAAACATAGGATCGCTGGCAAGTCAAGGACTGTACGGCAACCGATGGGATGGAAAACGAAATTTGGCATCTGTTGCTCGTTTCAGTAGTTTTGGCAAGAGAGAACCAGACGATGAAGAGTCGATATCTTCATCTGACTTCAGACAAAGCGTTGACGACGACTTCGAAAAGCGAGGTTTATCGTCTATTGCTCGCCAAGGCGGCTTTGGAAGAAACGAGTCGGAGGATAAGCGCAGCCTCTCTTCCGTCATCAGGCAAGGCGGCTTTACGAGCAGAGGCGTGAAACGAAGCCTGGCGTCGTTGGTGCGCCAGGGCGGCTTCGACGACGGAATAACGGTGATGCCCAGGCCGACGAGGTTTCCGCAGTACCTCGACGACCTCGACATTTCCGATGAGTTCGAGCGTCTGCCGGTGCCGCCCGGCGTCGGCTGGGACTACGCCGACGGCCGTCGGAAGCGGTACCTGTCGGCGCTGGCCCGGCTGTCGCCCCGGCCGGTCTCCTCCAGCTCGTACTGGCCTGACCGGGAGCTCGGTGACCGCGCCAGGGCCGTCCGCAGCTCGGGAGAGGCGCCGGGGGCGGCCGCGACCAAACCGCCCTCACCAGACAGACCTCCGCCCGCTGCGGCCGGCGAGACGTCCTCCACAGAGAGGGTAAAACCCTCCGGGGAGCCCCGCGTCAGGCATAAGAGGAGTCTGGAGCGAGAGGTGCTTGTTGACTCCGAGGAGCCGACCTGGGATTACGACGACGAAGGTCCCGGCCGCCGGATTCCCATGGAGGTCGGATCAACAGGTGAGACGGACTCACAGACACAGCGCTTTGCAGGGGCGGCGCCACGAATTTTTGACTGTGGGGTACTAGGGTGAAAAGGGCCCATGCATAGTGAAAGGAGCCCATGCGTGAAAAGGGCCCTTGCGCGGTGAAAAGGGCCCATACATTTATCATGGCGTAACCAGCGCTGTGCTGGGTAGGGGGGGCAGTTTTTACGCCCCCCCCCGGTCAGTTTTTTTGCAAATATTTAAAAAATGGCGGCGCCCAGCGCCGCCGTTTTTGGTACACCTGTTCATGCATCTTCTCCGCACATGTGAAAATCTCAGACCCGGGTCTTCAAGGTCAGGTCACCAGGTCACGTCAAGTGACCATAAGTCAATGGGAGAAAATTGAAATGCGCCTCTTTTGGACGAATGTCGTTCAAAACGCTCTCAAACATCGGTTCATACGTTTACGTATGAACCGATGTTAGAGAGCGTTTTGTCACAGGTGCAGTTTTCCGATTCAGTGTGTTATGTTTACATATACACACTGAATCGGAAAACTGCACCTGTGACCCCTCTGTATGCCCCTGAGGTCATCTCAGGTCATGAACGGTCACCAGTAGTTTTGTGGCCATAACTTTTGATAGAGTCGTGCTAGAGCGGTGAAAACACGTCAGATGTGTTCAGCTCGACCACCAGCACGGCGTGGGTTAAAGGCACTTGCAATAGCAATCTAATAGTCGACAGTGAAAGATGATAGAACCTGGATGCTTTTCTTTTTTCTTTTTATAAATTTAGTCCGAATCTTTTGATGGGAAGGATTCACAAGGACAGAGCCACCGCTAAGCGAAGTTTGTTGCAGTGACCCTGCCCTCTACCCTCCGATCGTCAAATTCCAGTTCTATGGCAGAATTTAGAGTCCAAAGTTTAATGTGCGCACATAGCCGCGCACGGCCGGTCCCCTCACTGACTTTGCCTGCGCCTGGCCTGTGCGCGCGCACGGCCGGTCCCCTCACTGACTTTGCCTGGCTACGGCCTGCCACCAACCGCAACCATACCTGTCAGGAGGCCCATAAACGTCAAGCGCCCGTCGCGCTTCGAACCCGGACTGTTATAACCGGGAACGCGTGCTCTCACCACGTGGAATTCAACGCTCTTCCAACTGAGCTTACGGGACCGGCTTGCCTCGCCAAAAGACTAAAAACACTTAATGCAGTATTGCATACCTATTACCTACCAACAAAGATAACCAGCGTTATTTGCCAAATTACCATCTATTTGAAATGTCTTCCTTTCGTCACGACAAAGATGCTTTGATAAATTGCCAGCCTGCCAATTATTGTTCATATTACGGAATATGGACGAGTTTCTACTACTTTTTAACTACGGGGTGCTACTGTATGCAGCTAACACTGTGCACTGCTTACTGTATAGTGTATATCCCTCGCCGGACCTATTGGTTTTCTACATACGCGCCGACCGAGGGGGGGGGGGGGCAATAACGACCCCCTCGGCGTTTCGCCCCTGGTGGAGCTAGCGCGTCGCGGAAAAAACGAGCGTGTGTGCCGTTACAAGATTCAGAGATTGATACCCGATTTTAAGGTCCTAGATCAACCGGTGACCTCTGAGATCAGGTCAAGTGCCCCAAGGTGGGGTTCCGTTTTTGATGAATAGCTTCGCAAAAAAAACGGCCGCAGAGCCGCGAGTTTGGCAGCATCGTGTCGCCGTCGCTCCGGCGCGTCGAATCATATACTTTTTGTTTGAGTGAGGTCAGCCTAGGGTGTTGCCTCGGGTCACGGTCAGGTCAGCGACCCCAGGTCACCAACTTATCGAAGGAGGTCATGTCGCATATCATTCGATTCAGCAGGTCTTCCTGAGTCTATTGGTGGCTTTCCCGACTCGCTAGCTCAATTTGATCGGGAGTTATTGAAGACAAATTATGACCTTAATGACTTCATAAATGACGTCAGCAAGGTCAACATTGCAAAAGTAACGCATGAAACCTTACAATAAGTGCATGAAATTATGCTTGAGATAGAAGGAGATCGTTCCCGGCGCCAGAATAGCAGTTTTAGTTTTCATTTTTCCCCATTCACTTTAAATAGTGAGGTCACGAAAATAACCTGACCTCATATGATCTTTAGGAAAAATCCGAGATATACGAGTACAAGTTGTGAGACTCATAATGGATACTAGATCCTGCAAGTTTCATTTCCCTGTGACATCTCCTCTGGCAGTGAGGGCATTGCGAAGTTGCGACATCTAAAGACCGTGCAGACTGCAGAGGTTCACTTATGACGTCATCAGTCAGTGACCTGACCTGACCCGAAAGTGCGATTGGTGTCAAAAGATCCGGCTTGAATCAAAGGTCAGGTATGCCAAGTTTCAGCTCTCTATCGCCGGCGTGTTTGGAGCTATCGCGAAAAAAAAAACTTAGGCCCCGCCGGCCCCTCAGCCGGCGACGGTTGATTAAGACACAATTTCCAGGTACCTAATTACCATGCACAATTTCAAATCCATTATTTTTGGTAAGAAATTGTGCTTTTAGAACGGGACAAGTGTTAGTGTTACATAATCTTTTTGGGGATAGAGGATGGAGCCGACTGCAGAGTCGGGTCGCTTTTCCTGGCCCGGAGTCTGAACGCTTTACTCTTAGCTACAGAAAGAGCCTCTGAGCACATGAAGGGGCCCCCTGAACACTTGACGGGGTCCTCTGAGCTACAGAAGGGCCGTGTGAATACACAAGGCCCTCTGAGCGCATGAATAGGCCCCTGAGAGCCCTCTCTTTATGAGGGCCCTCTGAGCGCATACAGAACGCTCGACGGGGCCCCTCTGAGCTACAGAATGGCCCTGAGTAAACGAAAGAGTCCCCTAAGTGCATGAAGGGGCCCTCTGATCACTTGACGGGCCCCTGATTGCTTGACGGGGGCCCCTGATTGCTTGACGGGGCCCTCTAAGCCAGAAAAGGCCATATGAGTAAGCGACAGAGCCCTCTAAGCAAATGAAGAGGCTCCTGGTTGCGCGTGACGGGGCCATCATATCTTAAAGAAGACTCTCTGAGCATGTAAAGGGCCCCTGAATGCCTGGCAGGGCCCTCTGAGCGACAGAAAAGCTCTGAGCACACGAGAGAGCCCTCTAAACGCATGAAGGGGCCCCTACTTCCTTGATGGGCACACTCTGAGCACATAATTAGGGTCCCTGATTGCTTGACGGGGGCCCTTTAAGCTACATAAAGGCTCTCTGAGTACACGACAGGGCCCTCTGAGCGCATGAAGGGCCCCTGATCGCGTGATGGGGCCCTCTGAGCTACATAAAAGCTATCTGATCATATAAAGGACCCTTGAAAGTTTGGTAGGGCTCTCTAAGTGACAGAAGGGCACTCTAAACGCATAAAGGGCCCCTGAACGTTTGAGGGGGCCGCCCCTATGAGCTACAGAAAACCCTCCACGTACACGACGGGGCCCTCTGTCCGCATGCAGGGGTCCCTGAATGTTTGACGGGGCCCTCTAAGCCATAGAAAGGCCATATGAGTACACGACAGGGCCCTCTAAGCGCATGAGGAGGCCCCTAATCGCACGTAACGGGCCCTCTGAGCTACAAGAAAGCTCTCTGAGCATATAAAGGGTCCCTGAGCGCCTGACTGGGCTCTCTGAGCGACAAAACGGCCCCCAGCGCTTAGAGGGCCCCTGAACGCCTGACGAGGGTCCTATGAGCTACAGAAAAGCCCTGAGTACAAGAGAGGGCCCTTTTAACGCATGAAGGGGCCCCTAATTCCTTGGTGAGGGCCCTCCGAGCACATGATAAAGGCCCTGCTTGCTTGACGGGGTCCTCTAAGGTACATAAAGGCCCTTTGAGTACACAGCAGGGCCCTCTAAGCACATGAAGAGGCCCCTAATCGCGCGTGACGGTGCCCTCTGAGCTACATGAAAACTCTCTGAGCATTTAAAGGGCCCCCTGAGGCCTGAACGTCTGGCTGGCCTCTCTGAGCGACAGAAGGGCCCCAGCGCTTAAAGGGCCTCTGTACGCTTGACGAGGGCCCTATGAGTTACAGAAAAGCCCTGCGTACACGAGAGGGCCCTCTAAACTCATGAAGGGGTCCCTGATTCCTTGACGGGGCCCTCTGAGCACATTATAAGGGTCCCTAATCGCTTGACAGGGGCCCCTCTAAGCTACATAAAAGCCCTCTGAATACACGACAGGACAGGCCTTAAAAGCGCCCCACCGATCAGTAGGGGCCTGTAACAGCCGCCTGTTAAATTTTTCAGCATTGGCCCTCTGTCGGCAATAGTTATTTGATCACTGCTAGAACCTATTTAACGGTTTTAGAGGGCCATTGCACGACTACCAAAAAGTCTTGAAAAAGTTCAGATTGGGCTCCTGACTGTGGGGTACTGGGTATATGCAGTACCCCACAGTCAAATGACTGTGGGGTACTAGTACCCCACGTACCCCACGGTGGCGCCGCCCATGGCGCTTTGGTATGAGTACTGAGTAGATAGTGTGCACTGTGCATCTGACTTCATCGTGGTAGTGTAATGCACCTGACCAATCAAGCATTAATTCCGCGACAACTTGATTCTGGGACAACTTAATTGCATATATAAGGAATTGGTAACCCTATAGATGTCATCCGGGTCAGACCCTCGTCTAACATGGAATTACACAGGTCAGCATTGGGAAAATACCCCATCGTAGTGAACGAGATGCCGACGTGGCTATCTGACTTTGCCCACGTAGCTAGATTTTTTTAATGAACTTGTTTTGACATTAACAACAAAAAGCTGGTTCAGCTGAATGAAATATGTACAATGGAAGACACATGAACAGCCTGATCTCGAAGGTCACCGTTTATTGTTTAACCCTGAGGCTGAGTCCCTAAAATTGGGCACTTATCCCTGCGTTTTGTAACTCGCATGCTCCATGAAGGTCTAGCTCAAAAAGGGGCAACACGAAACAACGAGTGGAATCGCAACCCCTCCCCTTCTCCCCCTCCTACTCGGTAGGTATGTAGAGAACCGATAGACTTACAGCCTTGGCCTTGCGGTCTCTGATCGTACTCGGTTGGCCTATTCCTGTAATCGCACAGGTCACCGCCCATATCTGTGATTGAATTGGCAAGAGGGTTTGGGTCATTTTTGCGGTAGCAACTTCCAGTAAAGTTGATCGAGTTTTGGAAATAGCTCTTGCAATTAGCTTGGCCGCTCTCAAAATCCGTATCAATATCTCCTTCTGAAGCACTAAATCTCAAATCGTCTCTCGACTTTCAACCAGAACTCATCTGGAGCAAGCGGGTCTTATCCCGGGTGCGTCAGCTTCAATCGGCCTTAAAGATAGCAAGGATGATAGACAACAAGGATGATACCCCCAGCCCCAATCAGGCAACGATTTTAGCAAACATTATTTTTGCTGTCGCACAGTTTTCCAACAATTTAACCCTCGCAGTATTGACATTTTCACATCGGTTAGCGTAGGTAGCGGGTGGGTTAGGTCCGTTATACCACGGACCTAACCCCACCCCCCACCCCCCACCCGTACGGCTGGGCCCGTAGTCGTACCCAGCCGTACGGGCCCTGACCGCGTAAAGGGCTTCGCGGGGAAAATCGAGCGCCGTTTTGCTAGTGAAGAGGAAATGCCACTGGTATCTAATTTTAAGTCCCTATGTCATCGGTTGAACTTCCCTGTCAGGTCTTCTATCATGTCTATCTTTCAGGTCAGGTCAGAAACCAGTGGCGGATCCAGGGGGGGCAAAATGGGCATTTGCCCCCCCCCCCCAAACGGCATGATTTTAACATTACGCCTATGGACGATGCATGGAAAGAATCGATAAATTTCTATGGTTTGCCCCCCCCAAAACTCTGAGCTGGATCCGCCTCTGTCAGAAACTAAAGGTCGCCGCTTATTCGTAGTGGGTGTTTACTGTTTACCAATACCAAGACTTCTGCTTTGACAATTTACATACGGCACTTCGTCGGCAGGCTTCACGCAGAGGTCGCTAATGCAGAATTATTACACTTCCAACCGGCACGGTTTCCCGCCCGGAGCCCATGCGGCGTAATTACTGGCTTATAAGCCCAAGGGACACGGCGCGTCTGACAGTGCCAAGGCTCCGCGGACTTCGGTACTGACTGGCCCCTCCCCACTCCCACTATCAGCATCAGCACTGTGAGTCCGTGACGCCCCGTTACGTGTATATGTTACAGACCGTATGAAAACTCAGTCCGTTTGCAAACGGCCTGGCCCAGTCAGGCCGTTTGAAAACGGCCTGAAAAAGCCGGCCGTTTGCAAACCGCCTGAAATATCAGGCCGTATGAAAACGGCCTAGGCAGTTTGAAACGGCCTAGACAGTTTGAAAACGGCCTAGTCAGTTTTCAAACGGTCTGGCGAAGCACAACAGCCTCTGAAGATTGAAATTAATGGATCCAGGTTGGTCGATGATCAGGTTGCATCCATGTGAATGCTTGCGCATTCCATGCCGAATGACTCGTCTACATACGTCGAACATTTTCTTACTGTGTTGATGCTGGGCCCGACCCTATTTCGACAATATTACTAATTATACAAGTTCACGGTCCGCCTGTGTACGGCCATCCAGTTGATGGAGCCTGGTGAAGGCACTACTGGTGAGGTCTGGTGAAACGTATCACTACAAGACTCACCAATTATTTTGCGGCATAAAACACGGGAGCGCGCAATGGACATCAGAGTTCACAGCAGTGGCGCGGGAGCCGGGGGGGGGGGGGGCTAGCGGGGGCTGAGCCCCTCCAACTTTTCGGGCTGGGGGGGGGGGGGCTCGTAATGTATTTGATCCCCCCCCCCCCCCAGCTGGAGAAATCGAAATCGGAAATCTACCAACATAATTTCATAGATTCATACATAGGCGCGGGAACCGGGGGAGGGGGCAGTGGGGGAAGCTTGCTCCCACAGCTCTGGGGCCGTGGGGGCGGTGCCCCACAACTTTTCATGAGGTCAGGAACCGTTGGGGCAGCTTGTCCTCCCCAAATTAGGGGTTGTGGGTCACAAAGGAACAAAGCATGTAAGTGAAAAATCCACCTCTTTCACTGGCTCAGCAACTCATTTGGCAGATTAAAACCTTTATTCCAGGCTGCCAAAACGGTAGTTTCTTTACTCAGCTGAGACGGAATAGGTTCCTGACTTTTTTGCAAATATTTTCTTTTTTTTGTTGAAAAGGCCAAGGTCTAAAAATAAGTGGCCTAAAACCGGTGAGAAAACTAGATTTGGGAGTACCCTAGGTTGATCTACATTATGGTTCAGCTCCCCCCCCCCCCCCCCCCCACCCAGTCTGGAAGAAGTTCCCGCGCCACTGGTTCACATTAGAGTCCTCACCGCGCCCGGTCGACCGCCGCGCCGGCGCGGCGGCTGGCCGGTGGCGTACGCCGGCAATACTTGACCATTGCGGTGGAAGGCGAAACTTTGAAGTCCGGGGGAAGCCCGGGTCGACCGGGCGCTATACGGGCCGGGTCTCAGTTCTGCCAATCTCTTCCTGACCAGGCCTGCATTCGTCATCGGGAAAATCAGGGAGAATTTTCCGGAACTAGCGAGAATCATCGGGGATCACGAACGGTATCGCGATAACGAGACATGCTGAAGATAGGCGCTCAACAACCATTTTCCGACGGAGAATATCCGAGTGACAATATTTTTCCGGATGCCGAATGCACCTCAGGATTTCATGATGCTATGTAATGTCATGAAACGGTCGTGCTTCAACAAACTCAACATTGTCCAGCTGTAACTTTATGCAGACCAGATTGTTTTCAAAATGCCTAGACCGTTTGCAAACGGCCTGGTGTCTGGAAAGTTGTCATACGGCCTAGACGGTTTGCAAACGGCCTGAAATTTAAGGCGGTTTGCATACAGCCTGGAATTTCAGCCCGTATTCAAACGGCCTGACTTTTCAGTCCGTTTGCATACTGACTGGGCTGTCCAGGCCGTTTGCAAACGGCCTGAATCGGGCCAGGCCGTTTGCAAACGGCCTGAGTTTTCATACGGCCTGTAACATATATACTGTCCGAAGTGTGACGTCAGGGGCATTCCACGTCAAATCGAACAAAAATCGGCTGTTTTGCACCTGACCATCAGCGATTTCATTATAAATTTGTGAGCGAGTTCCTGTGTCGCCCCGGACATTACATTGATGTTTTTTGCACATTCTGACCACAGGTCTTCTAAATATAGGGCATCAAATTTTTACAAAATGTTGCATCTTTATATTTTTGAACGACCATAATTTTGGTTGTACTTGTTTGATTTGAATGAAATAAACCTTACTGTTTAGGTAATTTCTTAAGCATTTGTTTAGAATTGCATCGACTTAAATATATGACCTTGAAATTTGCTTAACTCTGTTCTTAAGCACAAAAATTGAAATAGCAAAAAACACGCCACCTTCGATTTGGCTCATTTTCATATATTTTATTGCCTACCATATTCTTAACAACCTGTGAAAAAAATTAGAGTGGGCCATTCATAAGTTTTGAAGAAAATGGCACATATGCAAACGCATGTTAGCACGCGCAGTGGAGGGGGAAGAGTGAATTTCGCCCCACCCCTCCTGTTTTTCGCCAATATCTCATAATATTGATGCGAAATTACTTATGGCTACCTGCCCAGAATTGATTTGCACATCTCATCGTGCAAGCAATAAGAAAATCGGTTCACAACTGTTCTAGTAATAGCGGTGTAAAGTGAACATCCTGTCGCCGCGGCGACGCGGCGACTCGGCAGCCGGCGCCGACCGCTACGCGCCGCCTGAATTGTAGACTGTGCCGGGACGGAACGGAACGATTCCGTCTTTACATCGCGCTCCTTACCGCTGATTACGTTCGATTCGCGTCAAATTTTGTGAGAAGACTAAGAAATGTACAGGCAATCTTATGGTGAAAGAATTCTGAAAATAGGTTGGTAAACAATTGAAATATGAACGTGTAAACACAAAATTGTGACTGCTGCGTTTCCCGCGTCGGCCGATCCCGCCTCAGCCGGCGACATGTCACTCTTAGCAGGACTCTAACTGCCATATTTATTATCGGATTAACTAGAAATTCCCCTTACATACTCAAAAATGTATGTTCTTTCGTATAGTGAAGATCAAAAGACGTGAAGATATCGTTGCGTGATAATGTTTTCGTTGAATTTATTTCATGATGCATTTCCACACGGCTCAAAATTCACCGCAAAATACCGTTTGCCTGAGACACGTTTACAATGGAACGTGAATGCTTGACTACGATGACTATGCATTTCCATTCTCGCAGAGTTTGGGATATCACTAATCAGCAATCATTCATTTCAGAAAGTGTACACAAGCAAGCATGTCTTGACTCTGTCTTTCAAGGTCACGCGCGGTTGCGTGATGTTGATGCATGAAAACGGCGTTTGCCGCGAAAGTTATGAATGGCCCACTCCAATTTTTTCACAGATGGTTAGGAACATTGTGACGGACATAATATGTAAAAATTACTCAAATCGAAGGTGGCGTGTTTTTTTTGCTATTTAAATTTTTCTGTTTTAATTCAAGGTCAAATGCATTTCAAGGTCACTTCAATTTAATTTTATAATTAAAAATCAAAGCCTTATCAATTGCCTACAAGACCCTGTTAATATCATTTTGATACCAGAAAAGGAACCAGAGTTATAAGCATTTAAAAAAAATGATGTGTGGCATTTTTGGCTATATTCGATGGCCTATATCTCGGCGATACGTTATCAAATTTCGAAAATATTACACGTAACTCAGTTTTGAACCATGCCCAGTCTGCCTACAAATTTTCAGAAAAATCGAAGGGGATGACGGATTTCGGTGTTTGATTTGACGTGGAATGCCCCGTCAGCAGTATAACGCCCCTGCGTTCCCTGTCCGCGGTGTGACGTCCCTGTCTGCCTTATCTGTCGTGTGACGCCCTTTGTCCGCCCTGTCTGTAGTATACCCCCCCCCCCCTCCCCCACCAACAGTGAAGCGGCACCTGGGCTCCCTGGTGCGCGCCTACATGATGCCCACGGGTCGCCGCTCGGGCTGGATGGCGCGCTATGGCCGCGATCTGCTGCATCGGCCCGCTGCCGACACATCCCGCTGTGAGTACCGGACTGTTCGAGCGATTTCCGAGCGAAAGAGCCACCCTGAGCGATCCCCAATGACCCAGACTGACCGCGAGCGACCCCTCAGTGACCGCCAGTGAATCAAAAGGCCTCAACTGGCCCTCAGTGAACCCCCAACGACCGTCGGCGACCGCAAGTGACCTCCAGCGACCCTGAAATATTTTAAACGACCCCAAGAAACTCCGAGCGACTATCAGCGCGAGTGACCACGAGCGATCTCCTCCAGTGACCCTGAGTGTCTATGGGTGACCACGAGTGACCGCGAGCGACGAGGGACCTCGAGCGACCCCGTGCGACACTGTGCGACCCAGGACGACCCTGAGCGACCCGGTCTGGCGGCTCCATCGGCCCAGCACCGAGCCGAGATGACGAGTGACGAGAATGGCGTCGGTCGGGAGGATTTTCTTCCATGCTTCGCTTTGCTTAATTCGCGAGTGCGGCAGCTAAATCGTGAAAGTTGTTAAGAACTTGTTCAGAGCCGTAAAAATGGAGCTGAAGAGAGCACGAAGATGCGAGTTAGTTTCTTTGATCTATGAATACTCAGTGGCCCCCATCGGACTTCGTAAAGAGAAGATGTTCCAGAAGTTCGGAAGGTTAAATGGACCATCCATTTGCTATTCAGTCAGCTAAAATAATGCTACGAGCATCTGACGGTTCCTAAACACTGAACTCTTGCTAAAACTGATTATATTTCGCTCGTCATCGTGTTGCTGTTAAATGGTTGTGCTGTAAATATTTGTTTTGTTTGGTCTGCTGCCCGTACTTCTGCAGTACCGTCCTTTTTCAAACATTTAATCATAGATAACATGAATCCGATAACAAAATCCGAATCCGACCGATTCGTGTTATCTATGATTTAATCTATGCATTTTCCTCTTACTGTTGAAAGGAATGGTATCTCACTATTCTGCCTGCATTTTCACGCAGCAAACCTTAATCGTCTTTTTTTCTAATTTTATCCACAAAACGTTCACACCTTAATCGTCTTAATAACAATGTTCTTCTTCCATTCTTGTGATCGTCTCCCTCCTGTTAATTCGGTATGGACGCTCCTCTGTCCGTCTAACTCCCTCAGCGGTTGGGACGCCCCTCTGTCCGTCTAACTCCCTCAGCGGTTGGGACGCCCCTCTGTCCGTCTAACTCCCTCAGCGGTTGGGACGCCCCTCTGTCCGTCTAACTCCCTCAGCGGTTGGGACGCCTCTTTGACCGTCTCCCTCCGTCAGTGGTTGGGACGCCCCTCTGTCCGTCTAACTCCCCCAGCGGTTGGGACGCCCCTCTGTTCGTCTAACTCCCCCAGCGGTTGGGACGCCCCTCTGTCCGTCTAACTCCCTCAGCGGTAGGGACGCCCCTCTCTCCGTCTAACTCCCTCAGCGGTTGGGACGCCCCTCTGTCCGTCTCCCTCAGTCAGCGGTTGGGACGCCTCTTTGACCGTCTCCCTCCGTCAGTGGTTGGGACGCCCCTCTGTCCGTCTAACTCCCCCAGCGGTTGGGACGCCCCTCTGTTCGTCTAACTCCCCCAGCGGTTGGGACGCCCCTCTGACCGTCTCCCTCCCTCAGCGGTAGGGACGCCCCTCTGTCCGTCTAACTCCCTCAGTGGTTGGGACGCGCCCCTCTGAACGCCTCCCTCCGTTACAGAGTCCGTCTCTCCCGCGGCGGCCCGGGACACGGCCGCGTCCGGTGCGGTCACCACAGGTCAACAGCCCGCCTCTCCGGACCCGTGCGTGACGTGACGTGACGGTACCGGCGTCACGATCGGCCGTCACGCCAGCGGCCGCGTCCGGGAGCCGGCCGATCGCGCTAAGTGTCTGTGTTTGGCGAGCTGCGGCGGCGCCCGTGCGTCAGTGCCGCGCGGTCTCCATCATCGTGTCACACTGTTCAGTGTACGCATCAATGTGTGGACCGAGAGGAAACAGGGTATTTACAGACGGACCGGCACCTGACATGGATTGTACTGGCTGTTTTATGTTTTATGTTTTATCCCCATAGCACGCGTTCCATCAGGTGTCAGGGTTACCGCCTACCGGGGCACATCTCGTTTGTTGTGGACAACGCATTCCGCGGCAGTATTCGCCACAATTAATTGGAGTTCAACGCTCGATGCTGCGGCCCGCAGTGTTGAAATCGACGTTAAAATTAGGACGACGATGTAAGGCATAAGAATGTGAATGTCGACCTACGGAGTCAGCCAAAAACCCGTGAGTGGCACGCGTAATATGCTACCGCAGCGAACAAGTGAAGAACGTAATTATGTGCGACAATAAAGTCCAAAGAAACGGCAAGAGCGTGACAGCGATAACAGACAGGACCGATCGGCGAGTGGTCAGGAACTCACGGGGCGGGTTACATGGCACGCATCCGTTTCATGGGTCATGCCGCATTCGTCAGGTGACACACAACGCACGTCTTGGTGTAAGATGGTCGAAAAGTGTAAAAGCGGCGACCCTCGGGGTACCGCGACGTGATATTTGGGACAACAGTAGCATCACCACGACGTGTTTACGGAGCGAGCGAAGCGAGCGGAGTCTTTCCTTAGATTAACGGAAATTTCTGAGTATGAGCGGCCGGCCGGCCGTGGTCACGGTTTTGCGACGCTTATATCTCAGCAACCACTTGACCGATTTACACGCGGTAATTTTTGTAGGGTAGCTTCATTCCTTCTACCAAGTATTGGACTATTCCCGATGCATGTAGGTGACCCCTTATGCACGTGCCACGTGCAAAACGAAGAGGTGTCACTTTTGTAATTGTTGCAATATCTCGGTAACTACTTGGCCGATTGCGCTGAAAGTTGGCATGTAGGTAGGCACCCACTAGGCGATGCATATCCATGTGCCAGAGTTGGGGTGCTGCTGCACGTGCGCACGTGCAGGGGTCGATTCCAGATCTCGAGAACGGCTGGACCGATTGCGCTCAAATTTGGTACACGGTTACGGAGCAGTTAGTAGGGTGCCGTGCACAAGTCAGTTGGGACCCATTTTGCACGTGCGCACGTGCAGGGTGCCGCTTCCAGATCTCGAGAACGGCTGGGCCGATTGTGCTCAAATTCGGCACATCGCTAGAGACCGGTTAGTAGGGTGCCGTGCACAAGTCAGTTGGAGGTACCCCCTCGCAATTTCGCACGTGCAAGGCCCACCCTCTCGCTCGCTCCGTTAGTCGCCCCATAAGGCGCTATGCTGGTACGTACGAGCGCCCGCCGGGAGTGGGCCGCCGTCACGGAGCGGTCCTGTTGGAGTCAGCCCTACCGGTGCCGAACCGGCAGTGGCCGCGGGCGCTCAGTGAGATCTGCGCTGCTCCGACGGATACCCGGTGAGTGTGGGACGACTCCCTCCGCTGAGCGGCAGACCTCAGTCGCCCACACGCGCAGAGCGCCGGACGACCGACCGCCGCGCCGCCCGGAGAGAAATATATCAGTGTCCGGCAAAACGCCTGAGTATGTATTACATGTACAGGATGTCTACAAATATGCGAGCGACATGACACCGGACGCCTGCCGACCGTGGGCAGGGGACGAACATAAAACAGCCAGCGTAATAACGCAATCACATCGGAAATGGGTGCCCCGCGGGGGGCGAATACAGTCATATATGTAGAATTAGCGCGCGGTGTCGGCGACCTGACCTGACCTGGGGGCGGCGCCGACGGGACAGGACTCAGGCCGCCTTCAGGGCCGGGCTGAGATCAGAGAAGAAGACGTGGGCCAGCGCGTCATCGGCGCTGATCCGCAGCGAGGGGTTACAGACCAGCAGCCGCTGTAACGGGTCAGAGGTCGGCGGTCAGGTCATGGGTCCCACACAACAGATAACGCATAGCAGGTCACAGGTCACATACCCACATCAGGCCACTGTCACATACAGAAAGGTCACTGGTAAAAGGTAAATCACAGATCACATGCAGGTCAAGAGTTGCACAGCAGGCCACAGCGGTCGCTAAAAACCAGGCAGTACTTCAGGGCAGACACCATAAAAGGCAGCATAAACTACAGACAATGCCTGGGTCTTTCCAGGCACAGGAGGGCAATATTGTGCGTTGAAAGCACTGGTTTGAGCGCTGCTCACTCTGCCCGAGAGTTGAGACATGGCCGAGGGGCGGGTCAAAGCCCCCAACGATCACTGGGTCAGCGCCCAGCGGGGAGACAGAAAACAGACCGGCCGGCGGCCCTGCCCCGCCCAAAGGTCACACACAGACACACGCGCTAGAAGAAACCCAACTCGAGCGGACCGAGTCTGCGGCCGAGTACAAGCAGCTGCTGAAACTAGGCAAAGTTTGCGCCGACCACTCCCCCGAGACGGGCAAGACACGCCGGCACTAACAGTATACGACACTCCAATTACTTCTGCCGGACCGGCTGCAAAAACTCGTTACCAAAACGTGACAACAATGCCCCACAAAGTGGGTTAAAACAAGAGTAGCTAAAACCAGGGCAGCGGAGTCGATGGATTTTCAGCGACTCCGACTCCGACTCCGACTCCGGCTTTCAAAAACCAGCTCCGACTCCGACTCCGACTCCGGCTAGAATTGTCGACTCCGACCGACTCCAACTCCCGACTCCGACTCCGCAGACCTGACAGGGCTGCGGAGTCGACGGATTTTCGGTGACTCCGACTCCGACTCCGGCTCGGGTTTCTAAAATCGACTCCGACTCCGACTCCGGTCACAACTGTCGACTCCGACCGACTCCGACTTTGACTCAGATTCCGTCTCCGCAGCCCTGGCTAAAACGATGGCAGAGTTACGGCATTTTCGATAGGAATTAGTTCGTTATAGCGTCAACACGTTGATAACTCTTCAGGAAACAGTTATTCACATCCCTCTCCTTTCATCTGTCCCCCATCTCCTGTAACACGGTGGTAGCTGGTCGCACCTCCCCACTGACGGCCACTCCACGGGCGCAGAGCCGCTGACGAGCTGACCCGGTACCCCGTTACGGCAGTGTTGTCGCGTGCTAGAATCCCCCGAGTCATCATCAGGGATTCCGAGAGACCGCTTTTAGCCCACCGCAGTGAAATGGCCCGGCGTCAAAAACAAATGAGGCGGAGCGCTAACGCATCGGGTGCATTTATTTGCAAATTATGAGGAGCAGGAAAATAACACTGTCACCTGCCCAGGAAAGGAGATTTAACGACCACAGACGTTACTTGAGAAAACTACGACACTGGTATGAAAAGCGGAACGTAGAGGTAAGCATGCGTCAAATAAACGCAATGACTATGAGTGATTTGCTTGATTCAAAGGTCTAATGTTAATAGCATGACATAACCACAAAGAAAACAAGATATCTTGTTTTCTTTGTGGGTATGTCATGTTGATGAAGATTTAATAATGGAAACGCGTCCATGCACTATTTGTTCCGTTTTTTCTAAAGGTCTAATATTATTTTAGTATTTTCAACATTATTTTCCATTCTCAATCAACGTTCTTGTCACTGTTATGTCGATCGGTATCAAATGCAAATTAGCCATGCTTTACGGAGTCCTTAAAATGCTGAGTAATATGATAAAAGGCACCAATACAACTAGCGCATGCACTTTGTTCTATCCCTCCAACAAGAGAGCCAAACCTTCCTAAAACCCTCTATGCCTGTAGCCGACCGTCCAGAGAAAGAGCCGCACCCATTTGATTGGAACGAGCGACTTTTATCAAGGCAGGGCGCTTATATTTTCTTACGAGCTTAACTCAAACCTTTTTAATGGAAGAACCGACGAAGTTGATGCAAGCTTAACACAGCTTATTACAAAAGTCCCGGCCTCCTTCGTCCGATGTCGAAATCAGCTTCGTTGGGAGAATTTATAAGTCAAACTTAAAAATTGCCCATATTGATGGAGACATTCCGTATTATTCACCGATTTCAACTGGCTACGGAACTAGCTCACGTAAACCATCTCCGATAGGAATCTCGTAAATAGAATGCCGGATCCCGAGTCCAGATTATCAGCATGGGCAATCCCATGATTTTCCGGCTGAGCTGAGGGGCAGGATATTGCACATATTCAATCACCATTTCCATTACCAACGAGTGTTGTAAGGTCACCCGATTACACCACAGTGCGCTGGTCCGTACCTGGAGCAGGTCGCGCGCCTTGCTGTTCAGCTTGGGCACCACCTGCGAGAGCGGCATGGTGGGCTGGTAGAGCGGGAACGGCTTGTACTCGGGCAGCGCCGTCAGACCCGGCCACGTCTCCTCGGTAGGCGTGCCCAGCAGCTTGAAGATCCGCTTCAGCTGGTCGTCCACGTCCGCGCCCGGGAACAGCGGGCGGCCCGCGTTCGCCAGCTCTGACGGACGGCGAAAGTGATGTCAAACTGATGTCAGTGGCTATTACCAGTGCAATGCAGCGGGCGGCCCGCGTTCGCCAGCTCTGAGGGGTGAAAGTGATGTCATGGTAATGTCATTACTAAGGCCTAAAAACGCGACCAGCCTATGATCACCAGGTATATGGGACCACAGGGATGTCATAATGACAATACAATACAGTAAATAGCAAAAAAGTAACATACTTTATCAGCATATCCCAGCTAATACGCGTTCTCACGAACTCACCGTCATAGCTCCTCACCTCCCATCCGCCCAGCCTAACACATCGCTCCAGAAATCAGTCCTGGCCAGTCAGCGCCACACGCAGCGACCCCTCCCGCCCCAGACAGTACCCCTGGCCAGCGTTCCCGCTCACCGGCGAATATGCAGCCGGCCGACCACATGTCGATGCTGGTCGAGTAGAGTTTGGCTCCGAACAGCACGTCGGGCGGCCGGTACCAGAGCGTCACCACCTCTGCCGAGTAACATTTGACCGGGATGCCGAACGCGCGCGCCAGGCCGAAATCGGCCAGCTTCAGCTCGCCGTTCTGTGCCGAGAGGAGGGGAGGGTGAGCCGGGCTGGGAGCCGGGTGGTGGCCGCAATGCGGAGCGAAAAAGGGGTCTGATATATCAACCACGTTGAGACATATGACATATAAACTGAACGAACCGACTATCGGAGCAACACAACTGGCAACGGGTCAAGCACTGGCCAGTTCCGTAAACTCTCCCCCCCCCCATCCCCCTCTCCTAAATTGAGCTATTAGGAGCGGTCCTTTATTACCTAGTTCTGTATAGTGGCACCACTATCTTTTTCATTACGTAACGCAATGAAAACAACACATCAAATATACGAACCAAATCAAGTTCACAAATTTTCGTACTTAGGTGACGTCAGAATGAGTTCCGACATGTAAATGCGGATACAACATAAATAACTGCCGAAAAAGGCACTCAGATAGTGTTCAGATTCTCATTTTCCGCGAATGCCAGCCATTTATATTCCATTGGCCCCACTAAATCAGCCAAAATCCCAATCAGCCGATCCTCCTCCGCTAATATCGGCTCCTCCGGGATACACACACTACACAGGTGTCCGACGCGCTACTCGCATATTCATGAGCCGAACGCCGCCGGTCCGAAATGAGCCGGTTGTGTGTAAACAGCAGATGTGTCGTCTAATAGACCGCACCGAGCCCTCAGCTGGGGCTGGCGGGCCGGGCTGGGACCTCAGAGACCCACGGCCAGCCGCGGAGGGGCCGAGGGCGTCCGCCCGGGCCAGAGGCGGCGTTTTCCATCGGTACCGTGTCACGGCGACAAAGAGATCGATCTCAGAGGGCGGGCACGATCAGTGAGCAATTGCCGGACCGCAACTGCTGCCGACAGCAGAACAGGGAGTCGAGAGGTGGGGGAGAGGAAGATGGGAGAGAGTAGAGAGGGAGAGAGAGAGAGAGAGAGAGAGAGAGAGAGAGAGTAGCGAGTAGCGAGTAGCGAGTAGCGAGTAGCGAGTAGCGAGTAGCGAGTAGAGAGTAGAGAGTAACGAGTAGAGAGTAGAGAGTAGAGAGTAGAGAGTAGAGAGGGAGAGAGGGAGAGAGAGAGAGAGAGAGAGAGAGAGAGAGAGAGAGAGAGAGAGAGAGAGAGAGAGAGAGAGAGAGAGAGAGAGAGAGAGAGAGAGAGAGAGAGAGAGAGAGAGAGAGAGAGAGAGAGAGAGAGAGAGAGAGAGAGAGAGAGAGAGAGAGAGAGAGAGAGAGAGAGAGAGAGAGAGAGAGAGAGAGAGAGTACCAAAGCAATGATGGAGAACGAATAAATATAGGTCTTATCAGTGGTATCTATATAAAGATTCCGTGAAGCAGCCGGCAGTCTCCGTAATTCAGCAACACAACTTTTTTCTCGGACGGGATGCAGCAGCTAGACTCGGTGAAAGAGCTGGATTTGGGGCCGCGGAACAAACAGGAGCTCCATCACCGGGGCCACAGCGGAAGTTTATTCTTCATACACAGAGAGACAGCGCTCGTCAAAGCCGGCGTTACGGGCACGCAGGTAATAAGGCTCGTTCACCATGCCCCCGTCGGAGAGCCAAACGAGTAAACGGTAATTAAGCAGCTGCCGGTTTCAAGCTAAAAAAACATTCCCGATCCCTGGTCTTGTTTTGATGAGCAGCAAAAACGCCGCAAAGAATGGATAACACCATTATGCGATGGAGTTAATCATCTTTAAAGTCCAACATCAAGCGAACTGAGGAGCTCGTCGCAAGCCGGGCAATTTCGAAATTCCTTGGGTCAAAGCTAGTCTGATGTATGCCTCCCGTTCTCGAGTTTCCACCGAGCGAACAGACTGATTGAAAACTTCGCTGCCCGCGGTCTCATCAAACTGTCGTTGCTGACAGAAATAGATGGCTCCAACCGAGATAACTTACTAATAGTTTCCAGGAAGTGAAGCTCCCAGAAAGTTGCCCCGAACTAGGCGTAGCATTATCCTTTTTTCCAAACTTACTAAAAAGGATGGACGATAATACTATGAACGTCAATTACCAATCAAATGGAGATGAAGCGCGGTAGTCTAACATATATAGCTTAGCTTATATGCCTAATATATGACGAATGGCTATTCTGAGTAACATCGCGACATCTAATGTAGAGTAAAAATGGCCATGGACATAAAACGGTTTGTGTGAAGAATATCTGGCGCAGTGAACATTTCCTTTCTGGCATAGTTCAATTTCGGACCGGTTGGAGCCAGTTCCTTCAGCACCATCTGGTGGGGACGCACCATTTCAGCGCCATCTGAGAGATGGGTTGCATCAGCCAAATGGTGGGACATACGGAGAGATGGAGAGAGGGAGGGAGGGAGATGGAGAGAGAGAGAGAGAGAGAGAGAGAGAGAGAGAGAGAGAGAGAGAGAGAGAGAGAGAGAGAGAGAGAGAGAGAGAGAGAGAGAGAGAGAGAGAGAGAGACGTGCGAATCGTGGCGACTGGGTGCTGATAAAAAGAGCCGACAAGACAGTACCCAGGGATCTGGCGGGCTACTTTACCTTATTGATGAGCAGATTCTGGGGTTTTAGGTCGCGATGGAGGACCTTTTTACTGTGGCAAAACGCCAGGCCTCGGAGCAGCTGAAACCTGCCGAGAGGTCAGAGGTCGATGTCAGATATCGACATCAACTCAAGTCAGCGGAGTAAAAGAGGAAGAGTGAGGAATGTAAAACCAAGGAAACGGCAGCAAATAAAATCCTACATCGTCATATGCCCGAACCCAATGCTTGTGATTTATAAAACGATTGAAGCAGGTTATGGATCACCTATACCACCCCCGTTCTATAAGCCGTAACGCGTTGTGTGCACACTGCACAGTGCAAGGGCAGAGGGCTAATAGCTACAAGTCCGGCGTTTCTTACTGAAGAATCGTGTCGCAGCGCTTCGCAACAAAAACTGTCCATTGAACACCCTTAGTGAGACATAGGCCGGCCGACTCATAGAAACCTTACTGTTAGCAATCCATGGCGAGGTGAAAAAAGACTGCTATAATGCCCAGTGATCCAATGAGACTGGCTGTTTTCAGCGGCAGTTGATCCTTAGATACGCGGACCATTCAGCACATGAATACGCTCCACACAGGCCGGCCTCCCACGGGTATCCTCGTGGCGGCAGGGAGGCGACAAAAACATCCAGCGACTCGACTACTGTTCTGACCGTGGAAAACAACAGCACCGCCCCAGCAGCGACAGCCCATGGAAACAGTCAGTACTCACATGAACGACTTGACGATGTTCGGGTCTATCTCGCCATTGAGCGAATCAAAGTACTTCTTCAGGTCTTGGTCGCAGTGCTCGAACACGATCGTCAGCTTTTTATCGCTGTGAAGAACATCGTGAAGCCGCACGATGTTTTTGTGTTTGAGCTCCTTGAGCAGGCAGATCTCACGGAGAGCCGACGATGGAACACCCTGCGATAGAAACGCAAAAGATCGCTGTCACTGCGATGGCACACCCTGATATTGAAAGGCAAAGGATCGCTGTCACTGAGATGGCACACCCTGATATAGAAAGGCAAAGGATCAGTGTCACTGCGATGGCACGCCCTACGATAGAAACAGTCGTGGTCAGCGTTACTGCGATGCCAAGACCTGCGACAGGAAAAGACAGTCAGGATCATTATAATATCCAGCCCTACAAAAAAGAGGGACCAGCTAGGACCAATCCCTATTATTGCAGATCCTAATTCCGCCTAGAGCGCCAGTCGCTGCCCGCGTGTTCGTGAATCGGGCCACCGCACCTACCTCATCGTCGTCGTCCAGGCGTACCCGCTTCAGCGCGACAATCTCGTGAGTGTCGCGGTTCTTGGCCTTGAACACTGTGCCATAAGTACCTGAAAGTTAGAAAGGTGGTCAGTGCTTCAAACGACATTGAATCAGCAATCAGTACTTTCCAACCCAATTCATTCAAAGCAACCACAAGCAATGGCGAACTAGGGAGCACTTCATTTATTGCACTGGATGATGAAATCAAAGCAAAATTAAATTTGGATCAAACAAAACAAGCGACAGTCAACATATACAGTCATGGAGCAGCATTTACTTTTGATACTCACCTTCACCAATTTTATCCAATTTTTCATATTTCTGCATTGCTCTGTAACATTAAGGTGTAACATTAGCATAACACTAAGGTAATGCTGGCATAGCACACAACACTGAAGGATTTGACACAGCTGTGGACCAATGAGGAGTGTGGTGAATAATATAATATGTTCAATAGAATAATATTCAAAATTTCATATTTTGGGCCCTTTTGCACCTTATTTTTTGCATTTAAAATTAGATCTATCATCTATCAATAAAGTTCCAGCCTGATGGGATTTTTAAAGCAAAACAAATAGGTACGTTCAACCTCTTAAAGTTATTGAGTGAAATCAGATAACTATCTGATGTGAACTGGTATTTGCAGTATTTCCATAACAAACTATGTAAAACCACCAAGTGTTAGATTGTTTCAAGGGGTTATGCTCTTTTCATTCTTAACAAAACCATTTCACAGCAAGGATGTTGACTTGGACTGGCAGGAGTTAGGGAAAGTCATTGCTCTATGCAGCCACCCTGGGCCTCATAAGCTGCCAGGGGTGAAGCCATCACGATTCGCATGAACCCCTGGACTGCCCAGCCAGACCCCTCACCATCACCGGCGTAACCCCACTGCTCGATGGGCCTGGCTTGAGCTACCCACATCAGTTTGAGTTGGTGAATGACTGACCAGTCCAGATCGGGGGTTTAAAGCGTGGGGAAGGGTTACACAGTGCTGAGGATGGAAAATGATGGAAAGATGTGATAGGTATCCATCAAAAGTTATTTTATCACAATTAGAACAGCAGACAACAAAAATATCAAATGGCTAATAACAGCAACACTGGAAAAATAAAGACAATGAATAAAAAGTATTCCACATCCAATGGAAGGACGAGAGGATGTAATAGCCGCTTTTAGTGGATTTCCTTAATACACGTCTGAGTCTGAGTCTGAGTCTGGAACAAATATTAGAGTATATAGACCACCATATATGTCAATTAACTATATCAAATAATTCAATTTTAGCCACACAAAAAATGTCATAAATTCGTTGGAAATTGAAAATAAGGCTAAAAGATTTGCTTTGCCTACAATTTTACAGATCCCAATCACCAAAGCAACAAATGTTCGAAAGCTCAAAACATCAATATCAGCTCACCAGGACAATCAAATGAGCGCCAATAAGAGCATTGATTTGTGAAGTTTCCGAAATCCCATTGGTCCCCTTGAAAGAGAAGTGGCTCGTGTTGACAGTTATTTGAACATAAAAGCACCGGATTCGCTGCTGGACAGCGTTTTTGACGCTTTTGCGGCATTTGTTTGCATGCTGCCCGGCGCATATCGTCATCCTTTTCGTGTCCGGTCACGGTGGCTGTAGGATCTCGTGCCGTGCATATGTTCCGCTTCGAAATTATTTCGAAAACCACCTAAGGACGGATTACAATTAGTACAATTGTTAGTTTTCTTAGAGAACAACTGTCTACAAGGTAAAGTTTGGGACTAAGGTTGTGTATGTCGATGATAAAGTTGCCGTAAAAAATCAGATGTTGGCAGATGGTGTTCATGGATCGTGGTTAAAAGATATTCATATCATGAATTCATTTGTAAATTGTGCTGCAGTCTGTCCCAAGTGACCTCTGATTAGTACTGCTGTTCATGTACTTGTGCTCCGGAGTCCGGACAATGTTGGAAATAAGACCCTTTGCTGGTCCCCTTCGGTTTCAAAAGATTGTTGAGATGTGTGTAACATCTCAACAACATTGCATAGTGCATGTCAATCTTTGTGATGGTGGGAACTGGCAAGGAAAGTGGAAGAATAAAGGGGGTGATTTGACTTGCAAGTCACGAGTGCAGTCTCTGTGTTTAAGTTGCTTTGATCACAATTCACAGCCCTAGCTTGATTTTCTAATCCTCTTTCCCTTGGTATTTTATGATCACTTGTTCCTATGTTTTTTGTATATTTTTAATTTATTTTTTAGCTTATTATAAAAAAAAAATCCTAAAATTAGTGAAGTGCTGATATATTATCATAGGGTAGGTAAGCTATTCCTTTAAAGGTTAAAAGAAATGGTATTGAGACCTAAATTGAGCATTGTTGCAATGTCCTTGTCATTTCACACTGAATTAGGGTTAATAGATAATAGGCATGTAGTGCACTGTGCTGGTGCAGGTAATCTTGTGATGAAATAAATGGAATCAAAGCTAAGAAAATCAGGTTAAATACATACTCACACAGCATCAACTGATGTTTTTTTTGCTGAGATTCATCATGGTTCTGTGTTCAAAAGTTCCCATCTTCTTGCACTTCAGAACTCATTGGAAGGGTTTTTGTCTAATCATGAAGTAGAGTGCCTACAGCATATTTCAGTATCTCAGTGTTTGTTTTAAATCAGTGTAGTTACACTTCTCTGTGTCTGTTATTTATCATCTCTCTTTGCCTTTGATTGCAAACAAGTCGAAACATTTGTCTCATGCACGAAGCTGACTGAAATGTTTCTGTTTACATTGCAGTCGCCGCCATCATGCCGCTGTCGTGCCGATTTTATTCGCAAAAGTTCCCCGAGATAGACGACGTGGTGATGGTGACGGTGCGTCAAATCGCCGAGATGGGCGCCTACGTGCGCCTGCTCGAGTACAACGACATCGAGGGCATGATCCTGCTGTCGGAGCTCTCGCGGCGACGCATCCGATCCATCAACAAACTCATCAGGGTCGGCAAGACAGAGCCCGTCGTCGTCATGAGGGTCGACAAGGACAAGGGTGAGTGGAAACCGCTGGCTGCGCGGCGGGAGTCGAGCGCTTTGCTTTGTCTAATTTCGTTGTTATTTTTCAAGTAAACCCCACTTCTAATTATTCCATTGATTTCTGATGAGCGCGGATAATAGTACAGTAGTAGATTGTGTAGATATCGTTTCTTTTTTTGTCGTTTCGCGGTGTTTTACTTTTCGGACCACGGTATGTACGTATCTTCCAGCCCTCTCATCTCGCATTAATTGTGCCTTGAATACACGTATCAAAAACAAGAGGGTCCTTGCTGATCAATATACCTACATCCGACACTCGATGTAACCTCATTAGTTCACACTTCTTTGTAATAAATGTGGCTTAAAAATATGTCAATAAATAACGGAAAAGCAAGCGAAACAGGGTGCAGTGTTTGCCGTGGCGCCGGTCCTAGAGTCGTACGGGATAGAAATGAATGAAGGGAGATGCGTGTATGAAATGAAAGGATTTGGGTTTTGGTATAAAAAGGGAAAGCAAAGAGCAATAGAAGAGTTGGGATCAGTAAGCTCCAGGGTTGTGCTTGACTCATGAGTCGAGTCAGAAATTTGACTCAACTCTGACTCAAATGAGTCAGATTTGAGTCGAGTCGGATAAATTGTTGAGCTGTTGAGTTGAGTCAGAGTTGAGTCGGACAAAAATATTAAGGCGTTGAGTTGAGTCAGAGTTGAGTCAGTAAAATAACTTTTGACATTGAGTTGAGTCAAACATTTAGGAACATGAGTCAGCTGACTCAACTTTCCAGAAACAAGCTTTTCATCCCCCCCCCGCTTAACAACTTCGCCCTGGTCCTGCTGCCGGACTTTTTCACCCCCCCCCCCCCCCCGCTCAACAGCTTTTTTATCTGAGTCAATTTTGAGTCAACTCACTTGACACAACAAAAAATTTGAGTCAAGTTTGAGTCGACTCATATTTTCATTGAGCCGCTTGAGTCATGAGTTGAGTCAAGGGAAAAAATCAGCTCCTTGTTTGAGTCAGAGTTGAGTCAAGGGAAAAAATCAGCTCCTTGTTTGAGTCAGAGTTGAGTCAGGGCTTTCTGAGGTTGAATGATGAGTCGAGTCGGCAAATTTTTTTGAGTCGAGCACAACCCTGGTAAGCTCGAAACATTGCCGGAGTAGTACCGATGGCAAATCTGCTCGTCTCTTTTCCTGCATTAGCTTGTTTCCAATCTATATTTGCTTGGAACACTCATGCCGTTCTCTGGGTTTTGTACCTAGTGTTGCATTACCGATTCACTGGTGATAGGCAGAAGCTCAGTCATTTGCTGAAATGGAATCGGAACTGTAACATATCAGCCATTTCCTTGACGATTGACACTTGATGCGTATCGGTGTCGGTCGAATCAGCCGTGGAATCCTCATCACGGGACCTGGCCCGATCGTTAGCCGGGAGACCCGAGAGCGGCTGCCGCATTAGGAGTAGCTCGTCACGAGGCCCGTGACCGGCGCCCTGTCCCCCCCCCCCCCCACGCCCGTTGGAACTGGCGGTCATAGTTCAGCGGCGCCGCGCGGGCCCACTACCGGGTTCTCGGGTTACATCGGAGCCTCGGCGACAGGCACGTGTGGCCGGGCTGGCTCATGTGACAAACAGGGCTGCCCTGGGGCTCAGGAGTCACTTCAACGTTTTGTTCGACTCAGGAGGGCGTGGCGAACAATGGTCGAAAGTCGAAACGAACTGTATGTAGATTTTTTTCATCGTAAGCGTCAGTCACTGATACAACAGTTTCCTGTAATGTATCGATGTTACGAACTGTTGTTGGTGTTTTGTTAGTTTTTTTTTTTTTGCAAATATTGCTTTGATTGTTCCGGAACCAATGTTGGAACTGTCGTTTTCGGTCCTGATCCCGGATAATAAAATCAGTCCGGAGAACCGGCCAGCGTTTACAACAGCCAACAGGAAAATCAAATGTTTGGCCTGCTAAATGTAATAGCCGATAAACTGTGTTCCTCTCGATGCTCTTTCTGCATATTTTAGGTGTAATAATAACAGTTTTTATCACAAAGACTGGGAAATTTAGAAGATTTCAGGTGCCGGGGATTATAAATTTGTAGAGCAGATCAAAATCTTTTGAACCCGACGGGGACCAGCAAAGGGTTTTATTTCCAACATTGTCCGGAGCACAAGGCGAACATATCCCGAACCTGCACAAGTTATTGTTTTATATTTGTGAGATCCCGCTCCTCAGTCAACAGCGAGCTGTTCTCTTTTTGTTTTGGCTTGCAGTTTCCACCGTCATAACTTGAAGGTGCTCCCTGAAAATGATCCGCGTTTTATTTCGAAGAACATATTAAGATTCTGCTGATGCTGTCCTCAAGCCGATTTTCATATTTTTATCTTGATTTTCATGCCACCCCTTGCCCATTTAATTGTTATTTCAAATCGGAGTTTTGTTATATTTTACCAGTGGCCTGGGACCGATGCCTTTTAGGCATTCAGTGTTCTATTTTAGCGGCTAAATTTTGTCGTTCGCGTTGTCAGTAGCGCGTCACGTAGCGCGTTGTCAGTACCTTGTGTTTAAATTTGGCGTTTGCCCGTGCGGCACCCTCGGTTCGCCATGGAGGCGTCGCTGCAGGATGACGTGCAGGCGCTGCTGACCTACTCAGCCGTCACCTTCTTCGTGATGCTATTCACCGCCATCACCATCATGGCCTTCTTCACCGTACTGCGGCTGCTCTGGAAGGCCTGGAAACTCATCACATCGCTCTAGCTGAAATATCCACTCCCACCGTTATCCCAATCACCCCTCCCTCCGAGCTGGATAAGTCCGGGCCGCCATGTTGTTACGCGCACCGTCCCGTCGGCAGGCTACATCGACCTGTCCAAGCGGCGTGTCTCGCCCGAGGGCATCGAGGAGTGCACAGAGAAGTACTCCAAGGCCAAGGCGGTGCAGTCGATCCTGCGGCATGTGGCAGAGCTGCTCGGCTACGAGACCAACGAACAGTTCGAGGAGCTCTACCGGAAGACCGCCTGGCACTTCGAGGAGAAGAGCAAGAAACAGGGCTCGGCGTACGATGTCTTCAAACAGGCCGTCAAGTGAGTCATCCTGTCGAAATGCCCTCATGCAGCGTTAACTAAACTGATGTGAACCTAATACGATCAGAATTTTGATGACGTTGGCAATATGTTCATTATCGCTTCTTCTATAAAAAGCCTTAAACATGTTTTTTGCTGTAATAAGGTTTTAAATTTTTATCTCTGCTTACATTTCGTTCATATTTAGATCCTATTTGTTATTTGAGTCCTATACAACTGCACTTACCTACAAGTCCATTGCACTTTTACTCTACCATCCTATCATAGAGCGTCTTACCTTAATAAACATCATTGTTTGAAATTGCACACGTGCCGTGAATCTGTCGGCTCATGTGGCGGTCATTGCGCTGACTGTGCGGAGTGTTCCGCTCGCTCACCCCCTTTGGCTGACCTGCCTGGTATATGCCTGGTACCCGCTGACCTGCCGCCAGTGAGCCGTCGCTGCTGGACGAGTGACCTGCCCCTGCACCCCACCCCTCTCCATTACCTGACCCGCTGACCTGCCGCCAGTGAGCCGTCGCTGCTGGACGAGTGACCTGCCCCTGCACCCCACCCCTCTCCATTACCTGACCCGCTGACCTGCTGCCAGTGAGCCGTCGCTGCTGGACGAGTGCGGTCTGGACGAAAAGACCAAGGAAATGCTGCTGCTCAACATCCAGCGAAAGCTGACGCTGGCCTCCGTGAAAATCCGCGCCGACATCGAGGTCGCCTGCTACGGGTGAGGGGCCGCGCGGCTGACGGACGAAGGGGGGGAAGATGGTTGACGGTGGGGTTGACGGTGGTATGACAGCCATGGAGTGGTAGGTCGGTAAGGGGCAGCTGAGGAGCAATTACTCTAACCATTTGCTCGCTTGGCGTCATAGTGTTTCTTGGTAACGAAATTATGTTAGGAGGGTTACGAGAGTTATGGGCTTGGTTGGCTGCCTGAGATGATAGATATAAATCTAACCTTCTAACAGGAGATAGTACCTACGGTATGTTTTTGAACATCTCTGTCAGTTATTTGCATAACACATTGCACCGACATTGAGCGTCTAGACTCGCGACAGGCTTCGCTGATCAAGGCAGCGCTGGGTCTGCCGCGTTCTGCGCACCATACGGCTCTTTTGATTGCTGCTGGGGTGCCTCGCATCGGTGAGGTGCTGCGAGGCGATGCCCTTCGCGCATTCCGTAATGCTTTCCGCGCTGACCACCGTCTTCGCCAAGCCTACGTCACTGGACTGGCCAGACTTGCTACGTACCCCGAGCAGTTGGATGGGTCGTTTATTGGCCACGTATATAATCTGTGTGGTGGGAATTTCGGCGCTATCATGCACATCGCTGCTGGGTACGTCGATCACGACATAGTCCGGGCACCACTCCAAGAAAGCGGTCTTATAGACAGTTTGAAGATGGTTTTGGCAAGCAACTGTCAGGCCTCGCGGCGCCTGTTAAGACTACTAACCTCCTGAGTGCTGATTAACTGTGTGTGTGGGTGGGGGGGGGGGGTATGTATCTTTTTGTCGCATGACGATGCTGAATAAATAATAATAATAATAATAATAATAATAATAATAATAATAATAATAATAATAATAATAATAATAACGTAACTTTGTGGATGCCTTCACCAGCGATTTATCTGACAGCGGTATGTGTGTGGATGTGTTCGCCCACGCCTGACCGCACCGTTTATATGTGTGCCGCCAGGTACGAGGGTATTGACGCCGTCAAGGAGGCGCTGCGGGCCGGCCTAGCCTGCTCCACCAAAGATATGCAGATCAAGATTAACCTGATTGCGCCTCCCCTCTATGGTAAGACCTCTCTGTGGACGTATCATTAGTGTGAGAGCCTGATGCCCCGAGAGGCTCCGAATAATGTCATCAGCTCTGTCCTCCTGGTTGGGATCCGGAGTCAGGATCGTCTGGAATCCGATATGACCGCGTACTCTCAGATCTAACAGGTAATAGTACTGCATCGCTTCTAATATTTTTTTTTATATGCGTTAGAACCAGTTAGGTATGGCGCAAGCATAGTTGAATTGCACTTAAAAGAGCTGATAGTTTTCCAAATTACCAGTTGCATTGTTACCCGGTTTCCCTTTTTTATGTGCTGCGTTTATGTGCTATCGGCATCTGACTAGGCCTGTCTGTTACGCACTGTGACACGCGTCGTCCGGTGTCGGCAGTTATGACTACGAATACGCCCGAGAAGCAGGACGGCCTGAAAACGCTGGAGGCCGCCTGCGACGCCATCCGGGAAAGCATCAAAGCGCAGGGCGGCAAGTTCGAGATAAAAATGGCGGTAAGTTGAGCTCACTGTTCCCAAATGCGATTTCTGTGGGTTATTCAGGGATGAAGTCACCGCCGCAGGGGATCAGTATTTTGTCGGCACACGAAGGAAGCGAAGAGGGTTGTGTCTGTTAGCGGCGTAAATTATTTCATTTTCGATATCAGTGTCTTCACCAACAAGCTCGCAACATACTCAATACGAATGACACTTTTACGATTACTATGTTATTTGTCTGACTTTCGCCCCTTCTCGTCTCCGTAAACCTTGTTCTTTTCCTTTATTTCATACGAACCTTGCAGCATTGGGACCTTGCAGAACTTGAATTTGTTCGGGTGCTCGTTTGTCTTTATGCCGTTTCCCCGACCCTGGTCGTACTCGGTCTGTCCTGTGTCTGTGAATGGTGTCCTCTTTGAGTGTCTGAGTATCCCCTCCGAATTCCTTCTGTCTGTGAGTTTTCCCTGTAAGTGTCCCCTCCGCGTGTCTGAGTGCCGTGTGTCTCGGTGCCGCAGCCCAAGATCGTCACGGACGTGGACGAGGCGGACCTGCAGAAGCAAATGGACACGGCCGAGGCCGAGACGCGACAGGTGGCCGGCGACGACTCCGAGAGCGGCTCCGGCTCCGGCTCCGACTCCGACGGCGAGGGCGACGGCGACGAGGACAAGGCCGAGGAGTGACCCGCCCAGCGGCCGGCCCGGGGCGCGCAGGACGCACTGGCCCCGTGAACGTGTGAGCGATGAGACCGCGGCAGTGCTGAGCAGGGCCGGCCTCCCTATACCGAACTCTGATCTGCCTCTGGAGTCCTTTCCGCTGCCGCTGTCAGCTCCCCGGGCTGTGGCCAGGCGCGACTCAGCTGCCGCCGCCCGGCCCCTCACTGCAGCTCCTGCGGCCCGGCGCCCCGGCGGACGGACGGACGGGCGGGCGGAGCGGCCGACTGGTGGTGGGACCGCACTGTCGGACCGGCCGGGCGCGCGCGGCCGTTCGCCAGACTCCTGACACGTTCCAGGGTCCGAATGCTTTTATATTTTGGAGTTGCCAAGGAGCGCCGACCGGTTGTGAGGGCGTGGCGCGCTCTGACGTGACGTGACGTGATGAAATAGATGTCCACCGTGACGCCGGGTTTGCGCAGAGTGGCGTGGCGTGAGGGTGAAGGGCGACGGTGAGGTGTCCTCCGATGGCGGTCGGCCTTTGGGCTCGTGATGGATTGAATATTTTCCATGAGCGATGTCGTTCAATATTCTGCTCGTCTGTTTAGGGAAATTGAATTTCGAACCAAACTGTCCTCATCTCGGTGAAGTTTTATTTACGGTCACGTCAAGCAGTTTCATATTCCGTCACTTCCTTGGATGTGAGCGAACACTGATTGGGTGTCGCTTCATGACAACCTTAGTGTTTTGGAATGCACACAGTCATAGCTGACACACATGGTTTGGTTTCCGGGCCTCGATTTGTTTTGAAATTGTGGCCATTGGCCATTACCTCTCAGGTTGGCGCTGCACTCTGTTGTGGTTCAAATCAAAATGATTGCCGTTTCTCTACCTGTTATCAGTTATTGACTTCGAAAGATGGATATGATCACACCATAGAAAAGAAGGGGATGCTTTCTGGCACTCGTTAACCCGCGCTTGGGCTGTGCGTTTTTCTCCCACTACCAATTTGAATTATCTCGGTATGTGAACTTCTTTTCTTCCCTTCCCAAGTATTGTGTATTCACAACCCAGAAGATAACCCAGTCAAAATCACGCGTCAATGAGGGCTTCTTTCGATCTCCATGCTGAAACGATTTGTTTGCAAAATCGTTTGGTCATTGCCGCACAAACCAATGCTCGAGTCTATGGCTCGAGGTCATACCCCTATCTTAGAAAATCGTGTCTCGCCCCACCCGGCTCGTACTCAAAAGTAAATATCCAAGGTATCTCCATGCATGTGGCATTCGCCTGCTCACTTTATGACGGGAAACTGTCGATCCTATCCCCCATTAAATTAGCTCATCGGGCGAAAAGCACTCGACATACCGCATGACGTGTATTGATTTGTGCAGCATCGGCAACACACATTCGCAACTGTGGCAGAACTGTTCGGGCAAAGAGTGGCTCCCCGTACAAGATATCTACATACTAGTACTTTTACATATCCATAGAGGCACGATACCTCCGCAGGTTTATACCTATACAAAAGGCAGTAGCACACACAATATAAGTAAACGCTCAACATTTATTTCAAGGGATGAACCACGGACGCGAACGATGAAATGAAAGCACACTTAGCAATAGCGGGGGCACAACAGGAGTGTCGGGCTCGGGAGGGGCAGTGTTCGGCAGCGGGGACGCCCCCCCCCCCCCCCAGCCCCCTCTCCTAATCAGGGATAAGATCCCAGGGTCCTGCCATACTTCTAACGGGCTATTTCGAGACGATCATGGGCTCTTGGCTTCAAGTTGAAACCGCAGTATCACAGGGAAAGTATTTGATGGTTCTAGCCCAGGCTTGGACTCTGGTAACGTTTTATCCTCGGAGGTAAAAAGAATAACGTTCAAAGCATACGTGGTTATGCAAATAACATGTTCCCATAATTTCTGAGGAAATTTCAATAAAGTGTAGCATCGCTAGTGCATCTCATGCGAGCCCGCCCTCTCGAATGGTGGGCCAACTCGTACTGGCCTCTCCCGTTCGCATCTCACGACGCCACCTGGGCTGTGCCTCGCACGGCACGGCGCCACCTGGCCCGCTTCACGCCCACACGGCTCAGGCCCGGGTGATCTACGCCCGGGTGGCCTACGCCCGGCTGACCTACGCCCGAATTGCCTACTCCATCGAATGTCTACGCCCGGGTGACCTACGCCCGGCTGACCTACGCCCGAATCGCCTACTCCATCGAATGTCTACGCCCGGGTGACCTACGCCCGGCTGACCTACGCCCGAATCGCCTACTCCATCGAATGTCTACGCCCGGGTGACCTACGCCCGGCTAACCTACGCCCGAATCGCCTACTCCATCGAATGTCTACGCCCGGCTGACCTACGCCCGGCTGACCTACGCCCGAATCGCCTACTTCATCGAATGTCTACGCCCGGCTGACCTACGCCCGAATCGCCTACTCCATCGAATGTCTACGCCCGGCTGACCTACGCCCGGCTGACCTACGCCCGAATCGCCTACTCCATCGAATGTCTACGCCCGGCTGACCTACGCCCGAATCGCCTACTCCATCGAATGTCTACTGCTCCCCTCCTGTCCGATTAACGAGTGAAGATTTCGCATACCAAAGTGACCCTTCCGGGGGAACCGGCACCCGCAGTCAGGTAACAATGGGAAGGGTCGGTGGTACCGACCGCCGCGCCGCATGGTGACAGGTGATTCCCGGGACGTCCGAGCGTCGCCTTTCAGACGCATCGCCGCCTTCCCCCCCCCCCCCCCGCCGCGCCGTGCCGCGCCGCACAAAGTAGACGGACCCTGCCGCGGAGCGAACTACCCGACCAGGCTGTCATCATCGGCGGAGAGCCTGAACTGCTTTTTTAATCGTTGAGCTGATCGAGCTTGAGTAGCCATGCTTGCGTATTTCACGCTTCAGCCCTGCTGTGAGCCATGTTTTATGATTTCTCATTTCAGATCTTAACAATGATCTTAGGTAGGAAGAACTGTGAGAAACGCCCCTCCCCCTTAGCCCTCGCCGGTATAGGTGGGGGGGGGGTCGAACAGCCCCCTCTCGGTTTTCGCAAATAACTCGCGTAAAAACCCGCTGATCGCGACGGAACTTTCATTACCCTCGCGTTCATCAATTTTACACCTACCCTAACAATTTCATGACCCTGACGCAAATGACCTTTGACCTGTGACCTACTTTTCGAGACCATGTTTGGCCGGAATCGCGATTCGGCGTATGTCGTCTCCTCTTAGCCGCGCGTTTGCACTCTTTTCGTGGTTTCAAGGGTTCAAACATGTGATATGATATTGCTCCTATGCGTTAGGGTGGGTGTCAAGTTCACTTGAAGCTCAGGACAGGTCACTGACCTTAAATGAGCTCGGTTTACTTTTACATGTTTCTAGGCTAGTTTTTTTAGCTTAATTCGAATTTAGCAACCATATGAGCATTTACGAAGTAGTTTTGGTGCCATTGTAACATGTTACGAAGCTGTCAGAGGCGGTTGACACCTACTACGAATACCCGGCAAAACCACTACTGGTTGACCTGAACTGACCTGACCCGACCTGGCCTAAAAGCATGAAGACATCATCTGTGATAAAAACTAACATGATATTCGTGATCAGAACCCCGAATAACCCCGTAGCAGCCACACTTTATGACCTAACTGGTCTCGATTTTCCCGACTTTTGGGCCATTGACCTGGCTTGGAAGGTCAACCAATGACCTAGGACCTTAAAATTGGGTATCATCGGCTTCCTCTTGTCACGGGAAACACGCTCGTTGTTTCGCGAAGCTCTAGCTCGATCAGGGGTGAGACGGCAAGGGGGTCCAACGGACTTCCCCCGCCCTTATACGTTTGCGGCTGTCAAAACACCAATACTGGCGAGGGGAAGTGTGTCACCGCTAGACTAGTTATTTGACCATGTACTATTAGGTATTTATCTATATTTATTTATTTACGATCTCAAGCCTCCACGTGGTAGGTTTTAAAGCTTACGTCATTGCACAGTATGTCTTAAAAGTACCGCGCAAAGCAACAGTGGATCCATCAAGCCTGACCGAGGAAGGACTGCTAGTCACCGAAACAATGGATATCCTCGTCCATTCCCCAGGTCAATTGGTTCGGTGACTTTCAAATTATAGCAGGCCCTTCCTCGGTCAGGGTTGATGGATCCACCGTCACTTTGCGCGGTACTTTTAACCCTCGCCCTGGCAGGGCATTTGGCTCCTATGGCACCTAGAAACACCAAATTTGGTAGGTAGGTGGGCCCCTTGGAGTTCTCACCCCTGTGCAAATTTGGTTGCTCTAGGTCAATATTTAGGGAGTTTTTGGGGGATATAAATGTAAAAATTTCGCTAAATTAGGTCAAATGTTTTTCGCTTATAACTTTTGATCTAAGATAGAGCAAAAAGAAAAGCAGACTGTACATACATTGGAGTGTTATGCATACATACATAGGTACAAACCATGGTCACAAGTTCATCGGTGCAAAACTCACAGCCTATATAACGCACTATGCCATATACTATTTTAAAGACCTTATCTTTCAACCATTAAACAAAATAATGCATAAAGCACTGGTATGCTGCATTCGAGCGTGAATGAGCTTTTCCAAGACATTTCGAAACGGGGTGTTTTATATTACGGGTATGGTAAGACGCTATACTTTGGTTGTCACCTGATTATGAGTTTCGTTTGCATAGAAAATGCATTTAATGTTCCGTTTTCGTATGAGTGTCAGTAACGTGGCCTTCGGACAATAGGTTTAGACGAAGAACCGTTTCAAAAACCAACAATACTTAACCCTATTAGTGGCAGGCTCCTGGCTACCCCCTATTAGTGGCAGGGGGGGGGCTGTTTACGACCCCCCCCCTTGATATCTCGAGATCTAACGAGCCGATTTTCAAAATTCAAACGGCATTCGATTTCGCTCGACGAGATCTACATTTCTAAAAAAAAAAAAATGTCAATAGGCGGGTAGAGGGGGGTAAAAACGGGCAAATTGCAGATACCTTTTAGACTGTTTATCACGGCCAGGTTTCTGAACCAATCTTAACGCAACTTTTGCCGATCGATAGAGAATGAACCAGGAATTCACATGGATCCTAAAAATATGCATTTTCAAAAATCATAGGCGGATACAGATCATTGAGATTGGGGGTACACAAAAAGTATAGTAAATAAGGTTTTTGTTGGTACTGTTTCTAAAAAGGGTGGCAATGGTCTTGTTATGTTACAATTTTCTCATGAGAGAACGACTAAAATTGTATTGGTCATGCATAGGCGGTGTCAGGGCACCTATGTTGGGAGGTAAAAAATAACCCCCCCCCCCCCTTTTGGACGCCTGGATCCGCCTATTATAGCAAAAACGTGTCAAAAGAGGATGCACAATAACTTTGTATATGTTATCACATGATACCTTTCATTCACTGTTCGTAGAACTGGTGCAGCATCGTGATCTTCGCCCCTCAGTGAGCTGGTCATAAGGTCGCCTGAGACAGTGTCCCTTACGATCCGAGATATAGCTACCTGCAAGTTGAGAAGATGCTTCTTCCTGCAAGTTTCATTTCTCTGCAAAAGATAACTTCGCACTGATGGCCTTCGGATTTTTTTTTTACCAAGTAGGGGCTTCCTTACAACGTGACCGTCATTAGAAAGGTAAATAGTATTCACTTAAAGCAGTGCTAAATGACAGACATACTGATAGATAAATGACCGACATCAGATATCGCGCTACAAACAATCACTGTAGAATTCACAAAACGCACTGATACCTGGCTCCGAAGACATCCATATACCTACCATTTTACATGCTATAAAATGCTTTACAATCCAGAAGTGGCTATATTGCGATGCATTGTTGCTAATTGGGGCAAATAGATGAGGAAAATGT